AAAAAGCGGAAACGCTTCAAAGTTCCAGTCTCAAAGTTCATCGGGGAAGTGGAAACTTGAAGGCAGGTGAATAACGTTGCTCATCAGCAACGTTTTCCATTCGCTTACAAAAAAAAGAAAAAAGAAAAAAAAAGAAAATCTTAAATGGTAATTTTTTTATCAGCTGAACAGGGCCGGATTTACTTACTTGCCGCCCATGGGCCGCCTGTATTTTGCCGCCCCCTTCTCATTCGTTTTGAAACATCAATAAGAACCGTCAAGTGAACGTTCTGGAGGGGGAGGGGTTCATAAGACGCGTTTACTCGTGTTGGACACATTTTTTGCGAGAGCCCTGTCAACAATATACTAGCAAAAGTTCACGGTACTTAGTGCGAAAGTTATGTTCCGTAAATCTATCTCTGTGCGGACAAGGCCTTCCATTTATATGAAATGAACGTAAAAATAATGACAGAACAAACATAAATGTGGTTTAATAATTTTAACTTCCGCCGCCGCGCCGCGCTGGGCGATCTGTGTTTGGCGCAATGCGTGAAGTATTCCTACAGTCTTGTATGCGGTTTGACGCAATGCATGAAGTATTCATGCAGTCTTGTAGGCGCTATGCGTTTCACGCCGCCCGCTGCTGACCGCAGCGACCGCACTGTCTTTGACGCAATGCGTGAAGTGTTCATGCAGTCTTGAAGGCGCTAATATGTGTTACATTCCGGCCGCCGCGCCGCGCCGAGGGTTTCTCCGTTTCATCTTAAGTCCTCGTCATCATTACTCTCTGCGTCGCGCCATTCCAGACCAAATTCCGCGTTCGGTTTCTCTCTTAGTCTTAACTCGACTAATTAAAGGTGCTGTTTATTGTATCGCAGAGAGACGACTAAATTAGAAATATACTCTCATGAAATGAGAGATTTTGTCACCTATTCTCGTTTGTAATTTTTTTTCTGGTTTCGATTTTTCTATATAGCTACATTTAAAAATATTGCAAAATTTGCCGCCATGGGCCGCGGCCCATGTGGTCACCCCCTAAATCCGGCCCTGCAGCTGAAGAAGGAATTTCCTTAGCCAGTAATGAAATTCCCGAAAAAACGACTAACAAATGGGAAATGGGTCTGCATGAAGAAGAAGAGGGCAGTGGTGATTTTCAAAGTTGGCAGCACTGTTGTTTCTCAATTTAAACCCATTAAAAATATCGATTTTTAGGCGAGACAAGCTGCATCACACAGAAAGGTAGGAAAAACGCAGTGTTGCCAACTTTCAAGAATCGCCACTGGGAGAGGGGTCATAGAGGCGTTGATACTTCGAAAAAAGCTTAGCCCAGAACTTCTGATTTCTTATTCCTCTGAAAGCTAAATTGATTTTCTTTTCAATATTTATGAGCGCTTATCGTAACACTCATGATTGATTGTTGACAGGGACTTTTAAAAGACGATTTAAAGTAGCAGATCTTAGTAAGTTGTCTCTGAAGACTAAGGTTCTAGGCTGTCCAGTTTTTAATATGAGGCTCAATGTACTTTGAGGGGATTCTAGCGGTAACGATTTGATTAGAATATGAATTTATCACTTAAAGTAAAACCAGTTTCGAAAATCCAGTTTGGAAAGAAGTTTGAGACAAAATTTCGAATTCAGAACATTTCAATTCCAACAATTCTCTGCTTTTGCGCGTGGAGATTAAACCCGATCAAAGGCTAATTCGTTTCTTGCTGCATTGGATTTCGGCACGATCACCTTGACAAAATGATTATGCATCTAACAATGGCCGGAAAAAGAAAAAAGATGTCTGAGGATATCTTTCTCTTTGTATTATCGCACCATATGTCTGGGAAGCAAATCGAAGGAAGCAACACGGTGGCAAAAAAGATTTAGGGACTTTTCGCCTTCATCTGCAAGGATTGTGCAAGTATTTGCGGGACTGTTATCGTTTGAGCTGATAAGCATTAAGACAAAACGATTTGAAAAAGAAAGTGAAAAACTGACCACTATTTTCCAGAATTCCATTTGTTGGTCGTTAATTTTCGAATTATTGCTGATTATACCATTATTTCAATTTTTTTGGTTTAAAGATCTAAAAAAGAATCCAAAAATCCACCATAGAAAATAATTGTAAAATAATGGACACACGACTTAGTGAACTTATAAAGAGAAGCAGTGCAATGATCAGACTTTACAATGCTTTCATCACCGAACTTACAAGAACATAGAGGAAAAGATAATTTGGATTTAATGTCTTTCAGAGTTATTGGCAGATAACAAATTGTGACTTAACATTGAAAATAATTCATTATGGAAAAAAAGGGAGTTAATGAAGGGGGGGGGGGGGCAGAGGTATCGGCCTGCAGGTAGGGTGACCTAATTAAAAAGTATATTCCACATAAATCTTTTACTTCTCATGACCTACGATGCCTTATACAATTAAAAGGAGAAAACGTCGCAACATCCAGTTTAGGGGGAAGACATCTTTAGACATAAGATTGACGAAAAATAATTACGTACTTTATTGACTGGATTTGTTTAATTTGATATTACGATACAATTTGGTTGGATCATCCCGAATTGAAGTGCGGGTGAGAAACAAGCAGTCATTGTCACGCCAAAAACAATTACGGCGCGGTGTGACGGTGTGTGAGCAAAAATGCAAATAAGGGTTATTTTCGTTTGATTACCTCATGGAAAAACAATTAAGCGGTATTTTGTTATATGAAGACTAAAATTCTCTTCTCAATACGTTAACCATTTTGACGAGGTTTAGGGTTGAAATTTCAAAGTTTACAGTATAAATAGAATAGAAGATTCGCCTGTATTGGAGGAAAAATTCGAGACATAATCTGCAGTTCTAAAAAAACGTAATCCAAACTGGCGAAAAAGATATTAATACAACACTAACTGAGTGATATGTGTGATACGTGATATGTATGATTTATGTAATGTTCATTCTTCATTTTTTGCAAGCAAAATTCGTGCAAAAAGTTCCAAAACGCCCAGCGATCCTCCCGATACGGTGTTTGATTCTTTGATACTTTAACGATTTGCCTGTGCGTATTGTAAATAAAGAGCAAATATTATTTTAATTACTTCTTGTTTGAGTTTATGACTTTGCCACACATGTTTGTCGCGACACACGGATCACGAGATTGGGTATTTTTGCACCCCTGCAAATACAATGATTTTCCTTTCACTGGAAAAAAAACACATTGGATCTAGATTCCAGACTCTTGAAAACATTGACAAGAAAAAGGACTCTTGATACAATCAGATTTAAGCTTAAATCAAAAGGAAATCTGCTCAAATTAAGAGGCTTGGTTCTTGCTTTACGCTTCAATCTGATTGAATCAAGAGTATTTTTTCTTGTCGATGTTTTTAAGAGTCTGGACTCTAGATCCAATGTGTTTTTTTTCAAGTGTTGCACATGTAAATAAAAATTTAGTTGTGAAACGCACGCTTACCATGATGTGGGGATTTTTCGGTGCGTTAGTTTGTACCAATGACGTAATGAAGTAACATAAGCGACAAGTGGACCTCTGAAACATTACATCAAACAATAATCTTCCGGTGTGTGGTCATCTGAAACGACTTATTCTTCTACAAATGTTACGAAATTTTTCAAAATAAAGATAAAAATTTCGCTTTAAAATCTTTGATAAGTGANAAATGAGTACCACTTTCAATTGTGATCGCAGCGGTGGTTTTCATTGAAAACCGGCAACACCGCCGCTACTTGAATTTCTAAAAACGACGTAAAAGTTTCAAAAAAGCGTAAAACATGAATTGGCTCTTCGAATTTTGTTTTGTCTAGGCGTTTTGCTTCAACACGGAGTCGCGAAACGTACTTAAACGAGCGTCAAAATCGGGCGTCGGGCGTGTTGCCGAATTTTTAAATCGCTGTAACTCGGATTCCCTAAGTCTCTCAAAAAAGTATAGCATATCAATGGATGCGAAATCGAACGAACAATAATTCTGACAGGTTTTTATTCAATCTCCACCAACTTCAAACACACTTTTAGGCGATAACGTGATTTTTAATCATTATAAAAATTGAAAAAATGGCAAAAACGTGGCAACAGTGGACTGAAATAAAATTTTCTTCTGCATAGGTCGATAGAGCAAAATTTTCTACATTTTTTGGTATAAATACGAGCTCTGTGACTGCATTTTTGCGAAAGTTATGGATGTTTGAAGGTTACGACTTTAAAAAATGGCAACGCTGTTTCCCTGCGGTTTTCGCCTAAAAACAGCCAGATGTAGGCTCAAAATGACCTATACAATCATCCCACAAAGTTTCGTACAATCCCCGCGGGGTCACTTTTTGGCCGTTTTGCATAACCCTCTTTCAAAGTTTACAGTATAAATAGAATAGAAGATTCGCCTGTATTGGAGGAAAAATTCGAGACATAATCTGCAGTTCTAAAAAAACGTAATCCAAACTGGCGAAAAAGATATTAATACAACACTAACTGAGTGATATGTGTGATACGTGATATGTATGATTTATGTAATGTTCATTCTTCATTTTTTGCAAGCAAAATTCGTGCAAAAGTTCCAAAACGCCCAGCGATCCTCCCGATACGGTGTTTGATTCTTTGATACTTTAACGATTTGCCTGTGCGTATTGAAAATAAAGAGCAAATATTATTTTAATTACTTCTTGTTTGAGTTTATGACTTTGCCACACATGTTTGTCGCGACACACGGATCACGAGATTGGGTATTTTTGCACGCCTGCAAATACAATGATTTGCCTTTCACTGGAAAAAAAACACATTGGATCTAGATTCCAGACTCTTGAAAACATTGACAAGAAAAAGGACTCTTGATACAATCGGATTTAAGCTTAAATCAAAAGGAAATATGCTCAAATTAAGAGGCTTGGTTCTTGCTTTACGCTTCAATCTGATTGAATCAAGAGTATTTTTTCTTGTAGATGTTTTTAAGAGTCTGGACTCTAGATCCAATGTGTTTTTTTTTTCCAGTGTTGCACATGTAAATAAAAATTTAGTTGTGAAACGCACGCTTACCATGATGTGGGGATTTTTCGGTGCGTTAGTTTGTACCAATGACGTAATGAAGTAACATAAGCGACAAGTGGACCTCTGAAACATTACAACAATACACTACATTACAACAAACAATAATCTTCCGGTGTGTGGTCATCTGAAACGACTTATTCTTCTACAAATGTTACGAAATTTTTCAAAATAAAGATAAAAATTTCGCTTTAAAATCTTTGATAAGTGAATGAACTATATACAAGATACTAACCATACACTGGGGGAAAAAACACATTGGATCTAGAGTGCAGACTCTTAAAAAATTCGACAAGAAAAAGTACTCTTGATTCAATCAGAATCTAGCTTAAATCAAGAACCGAGCCTCTTAATTTAAGCGGATTTCGTTTTGATTCAAGCAAAAATCCGATTGAATCAAGAGTATTTTTTCTTGTCGATGTTTTCAAGAGTTTGGACTCTAGATCCAATGTGTTTTTTTTTTTTCCAGTGCATGCAAGACGCGAGACTACGAGTACATGCAAGAACCACGACTTTATTTAACGTATAACGGTACTGGTCCCACTCGCTAAAAAAAATGCACATCCCATGCCGTGAGAGGTACGTGCACTTTGTTTTATTGTTACGTTTGATTAATCGATTCATTTACCGACATTAAAGTTCCGAGTCCGTTTAACGTGCACGCTAATGAGGCGAGTCTGTCGGTTCTTCCTCTTATCCATTCTCGGAGTGATCGACAACTCGTTTAATTATCTGTATGGACGGATGGAGGGTGGGAAGGCTTGCAAGTCGCAACGACCTAGGTGCACTTCCAAGACACCCATCAGGTGATTCAGTTCGGATTATTCGGTTTGTGCTTGTCTCGCGTACTCGAACATGCTAAAGGACCGTTCATGAAATACATAACGCTGAAAACGTTATTTTTTAAACAACCTTTCTCCTCGTAACGCGCCTGTAACGTAGGCTCAGCTGGAGACCCCGCTCCTAAAGCTTTACGTCACGTATTTTACTCAAGAACGACCTCTTTGCTCTATTTTATCCTGAGTCCGTCCATTACGAGTTCGTTTTTTTGGCATAGGCGCAATTACCGTGCTAGATTTAAAATTGAGAAAATGCACCACCTACACTGGAAAAAAAAACACATTGGATCTAGAGTCCAGACTCTTAAAAACATCGACAAGAAAAAATACTCTTGATTCAATCGGATTTTTGCTTAGATCAAGAACCAAGCCTCTTAATTTGAGCGGATCTCCTTTTGATTTAAGCTTAAATCTGATTGAATCAAGAGTCCTTTTTCTTGTCAATGTTTTCAAGAGTCTGGACTCTAGATCCAATATGTTTTTTTTCTCTAGTGTAGTGACGTCATCTGGTGGCATTTTCCATTTAAACACGTGTATTTTAGCAGATAAGAGAATTTTGCCTTTTAATACTTGTTCGATTCATGGACCAAGGGTATCCTCGTGTTCAGTTCACGCATTGTCAGAGTGATTTCCACACATTTCACAGGTTAAACACGAAATTCATCAAGTTTCAGGCATCTGCAAATTTTCCATTTTTATCAAAAGCTTTTGTTTGTTGTGTGTCTAAAACGTCACCATACAAGCATGCCACGCATAACGTACTGCTGTCTTGCCGAACATTAGACTAAAAAGGCCCTCAGTACGTAATTGAAACCAAAATTTGTCGATTTTCAATCATCCGAACGAATTCTGTGAGTATTTTGGACGATTATGCAGACAATTTTACGCGAAGAACGGAAATTCCGCTCGATAAAATTTTCCGCTCAGACGCTACGAGGTCAATTTTTTCAAAACTTCTTTTCTGCACTTACTGTTCTCTTCCTAGCATGGCAGCGCGGTTGAGATCTTTGAAAATATGAATACTTCGTGCCAACTGGAAAGAGTGCCCGTATACACGAAGAACCAGAGGTCCGAAGACACGGACGGAATCAAGTCTAGAGAGTTGCGCTTCCGTACGAGGACAAAACGCCGTATGTTCATCTGAGAGTTGCCAAATTTCCTACGACAAAATATTTATTTTTAAGGAAAATCAATGAATATCTTTTCTCGGAATTTTCAGGTGATTTAGATCTAATTGCGAATAAAATTCTCCGAAAAATTAGAGGCGAAACATTCAAATATTTCCCGGAAAACTCGTATTTTATGAGAAGAAATTTGGCAACGTCTTAAGGCTCATACGGCGTTCTACCTTAGCACGGCGAAACCTTTTCGGCGGCCGTCGAGCGGAACCGCGCGTCGACAGCTCGAATTTGCAAATCATCGCGGCCGCGCGGCCAGAATGGCGCAACGCTCTTAAGCTCGACTTAATGTCCTCCCGACTTCACTATTCTATCGTGCTAAAGAAAAACGACGTGCGTCCATTCGGACATTGCCAAATTTCTCTTGATAAAATGTTCATTTGCGAAAAAAATTGTGAATATTCCTCCTTAAAATTTTCGGGTATTTTAGGTTGAAATGCGTATAAAATTCTCTGAAGAACTGGAAGAAAAATGTTCCTAGGTTCCCCTGAAAATTCATGTTTTAGCGGACGAAACATGGCAACGTCCAATGGCTTATACGGCGTTCTTTCTCAGCGCGGCAGTATCGACACTCCGCCTTTCCGATTCCTCCAGCTCATCTCTCTTAATGGCGCTATCTCTTCTAGAAACGACGTCTTGGAAAACGCGACTGGCGCACGGTGGATCGAGTCAAGAAGAGAGGTCGAACATGAAAATTTTAACTGAAACTGCAATTGTTATTGCACATTTCGTCACCTTCCAGGCAAAGTATCACAAGCGCCATGCGACGTTTAAAAATTTCCGCCGCCATTTTACTTTTTTACTGAGAAATTGTTGGTTGAATCTGTTCGAAAATTTCACTAATTTTTATCGGCAGCACAAAGAAAATTCGGTGTAATTTTCGGACAGGTTCGTTGAACAATTTCTCTGTAAAAAAATATAATGGCGGCGGAAATTTTTAAACGTCGCATGGCGCTTGTGATACTTTGCCTGGAAGGTGACGATTTGTTGTTTCCGTGAACCCAGAGCTACCATAAAATTCAGGAAATAAAATTCCCTGACACATTTTGGTGAAATTCGCGAATTTCGCGCCGGGATTTTAAACAGTGCAGGAGTATTAGCGTCGATAGCGTTGGTAACTTCTAGACGGCGGAAAAATTCCACACCTTGCCGAGAAATACGGCTCGGAAGCTATGTCAGCTGACAGGAATGGAATCGGTTCTGGCTTTTCTTCAAAAGCAGGTTTTTCCCGACCGGCCTAGCGCGCGGAGCAAGGAGAGGTGAAGCTTGAACTTGCTCTTGAGAAACTGCGGTTCGCGGTCATGGGCTTATTTCCATCCGATCCTGATTCCTCATTTTGCGAGCGAGGGTGATATTATTGCCAGATAGTGCTGCAAAATCAGAATTTCTCTCTATTCAACCCCATGTAAACATTTCACATTTCATGGCACAATCTGACAACCTCGGAGGGTATACAAGCTACGCGTCACGCATACGATTCCTGGAGTAACCTCAGACTCCGCGGGAAAACCTTCGTGTCATCGAGGTGGAAAACATGACATTATTCAGTGGGCTGTTTGTCTTTCTGTGACGATATGGAAATCTTGAGAATGACATCCTAGAAGATGAACTTTCCGAGAGAACGAAGTTCTCAATCAGGCTAAACATAGTCTTCCAATTTTTTACATCGAGCTTTTTGCAATGAATAAAAGAATAGGCACACGTACATAGTTTCACCTGGGAATTCTATTACCACCCGGCAAAAGACAGCCTTCTCTTGGGATGAATAGTTACGTCAAAATTTTAAACACAGCATCTCATATTACATAATTGAAAATTCACGTGAAATAAATCGGTGGAGACTTAAAAAACTTCATCATTCCATTTCTAGCATTTTTACCAATAGATTATTATTACATGCGAAAAATTAGAGTTTTCTGTCTACATTTTTTTAAAACATCGCACGCGACTAAAAAAATTGGAAAAGTTTGAAAAAAAAAATAATTCGTTTTGCTTTCGCTTTCCTTATTCATTCCTAATCGTCGTTAGATCGAGTACTGGATGAGTGGTTTTTTCCAAAATTATATTCCGCTGCGATTTAATTGTTTATTTGTTTTTCCCCCGATTATTTTCCCTCTATAGGGTCAGGCAAATCTCATCTTCTCATTAATACTTTTTTCATACTTTTTTCTTATAATCAAAAAAATGACTTACGGACCTTCCATTTCCACTATAATGGGATAATAAAGCAGCAGGACTGTTAAGTTGCACTGTTATTGTTTAATTTACGCGTTCGACCACACCTTGTTACAAAAAAAAATACAATAACACAAATGACTGGACTCAAAAAGACGCATTGAAATAATTAGCAAAATGGCAGGTTTAATTCCATTTTGCTCTCGCAAAAAACCAAATAATTTCAACCTTGAAATTTTACCGTAGTTTTTTCCGCAAAGCATTTCTTCAACAATTTCAAACGATAATGCGGGACGATTAACAAATGAAAAGGCCAATTATGATGTTAGACGGATATTTGACCTGAAAAACCAGTTGAAAACGAAGAATTTTTGAAGGGAGGGGGGGGGAGGGTTCCCTGCAGTCCTGCTGAACTGAGAAAAAACGCCGCATGACGATTTGATGGTTGTCATATTTTTTTCAATATTAACACTTAATTTTGACAGATAAGTACTCTGCCGTAAAATTTTCTGATTCTTTATACAAGAAAAATTCTCTCGAGAATTCAAAGCGAAACATTCGTAAGTTTCTCGAAAAAATTGTACTTAATTAAATAAAATCCCTGGTAAAAATTGGCGATAAGAGCCGCGTTTCAAAATACCATACGAATTCTCACAGCCGGCTAAAGAAGGCTACAGAAAATCATATAGCTGGCTGTAGAATGCGGAGAAAATCATACGGCTGGGCTATACGAAGCGATGAAAAATGATGCAGCCGGGCTATAGTTCCTATCGACGGGCTTTACACTTTATCGCCTGGCTGTTGCTTTTTCGCCATCGATTATAATAAACTGTAAGAAATTTTGTAGTTTGTGTGTTTTTGAAATCATTGAGTT